TTAAAAAATAATAAGCATTTGCATTGGGCTGTAAAACTCGAGAAATTCAGAAGATATTCTAAAAAGTGATCTGAAGGAGAATTTCCTAGAGAAAGATATGGGAGACTCAAGAAGAACTTTAGAAATATCCAATAAAAAAATGTTCAATATGAATATTAAACAGTGCATAAATATTTAGTGCAACAACATGAAGATTAATCAGACCTAAAGATTCCAGTATCGAATTCAAATGCAAACCTCAATTTTTAAGTATTTCCAAATTATACTCATATTATTAATTGAAAAGACACTTTAAACATCGTCATTAACACAGAAATGGCACAGGATTACTTTTTTTCTCAAAAAACTACCTTTAAAACTTTCAATATTCAACATCTTAATGAAGACAATATAAAATAGAAACAGCTTTAAAAGTCTGCCCACACACCCAACAAGTACGCTTTCTCTCACATTAATGTCCTCTAGATTTTGGCGCGGGCGGTGGCGCGGGCGGTTAAGCGGCAGACACAAGTGACGCAAGGAGTACAAAGTGTATATGATGACGATGAAATTCTTTTGGCTTTGGTTTTAAAAGAGGATTCTAAAGATGAACAAAAATGTAAAGAAGAATTAGAAAAATATTGTAATGCATTAACAAATGCAAAACTAAAACCAGAAAATGTTCACAACAAACTTAAAGAGTTTTGTGGAGGCAAAAATCCAGAAAAAAAATGCAAAGATCTAAAAGGCAAAGTCAGTCAAAAATGTACTACATTTAAAGGAAAACTTCAAACAGCAGCAGAAAAGGGTATCTCAGTTTTGACAGATAGTGATTGTGAAAATGAACAACAATGTTTGTTTTTAGAAGGAGCATGCTCAACAGATCTTAAAGATAATTGCAATAAATTAAGGAATAACTGTTATCAAAAGAAGCGTAATGAAGTAGCAGAAGAAGCTCTTTTGAGGGCACTTCGTGGGGACTTGGAGAAAGAAGCTGAATGTGAAAAGAAAATAAAGGATGTTTGCCCAAAAATAGGCCAAGAAAGTGATGAGTTGACATTGTTGTGTCTTGATCAAGAGAAAACATGCAAAAAATTTGTATCAGAAAAAAAAGGAAAATGTAATGCTCTTGAACAGGACGTTAAAAATGCACTTAAAAAGAACAGTGAATTACGAGGAAAATGTCTACCATTACTTGAGCAATGTTACTTTCATAGAGGGAACTGCGAAGGAGAAAAATCAAAGTGCAGTAAACTTACTAATCAAGACTGTAAAGAATATATACCAGATTGCGATAAGTTAGAAGAAGAATGTGAAAAACAAAATATCATTTACACACATCCGGGACCCGATTTTGATCCAACTAAGCCAGAGCCTACAGTAGCAGAGGACATAGGGCTGGAAGAGCTTTATAAAAAAGCCGCAGAAGAAGGTGTTCATATTGGAAAGCCTCCTGTAAGAGATGCAACTGCTCTACTGGCACTTTTGATTCAGAATCCAATTCTTAATACTCAACTGAGCGAAGAAAAAAAATGTGAAAAAGTCCTTAAAGATAAGTGTAAAGAGTTAAAAAAACACGAGGTTTTGGGATATCTATGTGATGATAATGACTCCACTAGTCAAAATGGAACTGAAAAGTGTGGAAAGCTACAGAAAGAGCTATTAAACAGTACTAAAATTCTTTCTGCAAAAATTGGAGCTAAACATCTTGTCTCAATCGGACAAAATAACATTGTTAGTTGGAACAAGTTGACGACATTTATTACTGAAGAAGAATGCGTAAGGTTGCAATCAGACTGTTTTTATTTTGCTGAAGATAAAGGCCCTCTTGAAAAAGAATGCAAAAATGTTAAGGCAGCATGTTATAAGAGAGGGCTTGAAACACGAGCCAATGAAGCATTACAGAGAAAGATGTATGGACTGTTTCGTGGTTCAGGCAAAGAATGGTTTAAAAAACTACAAGATAAAATAATGGAAGAATGTTCAGAACTTAAAACAACAAGTGATGAGTTATTTTTACTATGTATTGATCCACTTAAAGCAGTTAGAATACTTGCAGCTGATATCCAAACAAGAGCGATCTTTTTGCGGAAACAATTGGATCAAAAGCGAGATTTTCCAACGGACAAAGACTGCAAGGAATTGGGGAGAAAATGTGAAGCTTTAGGAAAGGATTCAAATCAGATTAAGTGGCCATGTCATACGCTAAAGCAACAATGTGATCGCTTAGGGACTACAGAAATCTTGAAGCAGGTTTTACTGAATGAACACAAGGATACTTTGAAAACTCATGAAAACTGTGTAACATATTTAAAGGAAAAGTGTAATAAATGGTCTAGAAGAGGCGATGACCGTTTCTCTTTTGTATGTGTTTTCCAAAACGCTACGTGTGAGCTGATGGTAAAAGACGTGCAAGATAGGTGCAAAATATTTAAAGAAAATATAAAAGTTTCAGAGATTGTTGATTTTCTTAAAAATAACACGAATAACATAACAACACTGGAAAGAAACTGTCCCTCCTGGCATACATACTGCAATAGATTTTCACCTAATTGTCCAGATCTTACGAAAAAAGATACTCTTTGTACAAAGATCAAAGATCATTGTAAGCCATTCTATGAAAGAAAGGCCTTGGAAAACGCTCTCAAAGTAGAGCTTCGAGGAAAGTTGAATAAGGAAAATGAATGTACTACAGCATTGAAAGAATATTGTACACAATTAGAAAAATTAAATAATGAATCTATCAAAAGTTTATGCAAAGCTAACACCAAGAATAACCCTAAAAAGAATGATGAAGATGTTAGGAAGGAACTCTGTGATAAATTAGTAAAAGAAGTAAAAGAACAGTGCAAAACATTGCCAGCAGAACTAGAACAGCCTGCAAACGATCTAGAAAAAGATGTTAAAACATATAAAGAACTTAAAAAAGAAGCAAAGAAAGCAATGAACAAGTCTAATCTTGTTTTATCACTCGTTAAGAAAAACGAAAGTAATACATCAAAAAATAATAGAAATAATAGCAAAAACAAGGATAAGAATGCCGTTTCAAACGGACTTCAAGATACCACAGAACATGTGAAAATACTACGGAGAGGAATTAAGGATGTACTTGTGACAGAATTGGAAGCCAAAGCATTTGACCTAGCAGCAGAAGTATTTGGAAGATATGTAGACTTGAAAGAAAGATGTGAGAAATTAACTTCGGATTGCGGGATTAAAGACGATTGCGATAGTTTAAAAGAAGTGTGTGGAAAGATTGAGAAGACATGTCGCGATCTGAAGCCTCTGGAGGTGAAGCCGCACGAAACAGTGACAGAAAGCACAACGACGACCACAACGACAACAACGACCGTTGCCGATCCGAAGGCAACAGAATGCAAATCCTTACAGACAACAGACACATGGGTTACACAGACATCGACACACACAAGCACGTCTACCATCACATCTACGATTACATCAAAAATAACATTGACATCAACAAGGCGATGCAAACCAACCAAGTGTACGACAGGGGATGATGCAGAGGACGTGAAACCGAATGAGGGATTGAAGATGAGTGGGTGGAGCGTGATGAGGGGGGTGATATTAGCAATGATGATTTCGTTCGTGATTTAGAAAGCAAATGAGCAAGATTTAATGATGAGCATGTATATTTACTAGATGAGCAAGCAGGGTAGGAGAGGAAAGAGTAAGGTAGATTGAGTCATCTCTTCAGCATCAATTGAAAGTGCATTACACATGAAATCGCGTGTTCCTTATTTAATTGACCACTATTCTTTATCTAAATAACCTTTATTTCTCATTTATGTCCTTTTACATTCTACTTTTTATTTATTCAAATTTTACTATTACCCCACATTTACTCCGCATTTACCCCACATTTACCCCACACAAATTTAAATACGTGTAGTAAAGCATGTATCACAATAATTGTATGGACACACTAAAGATATACTTTGCACACAGCTTCTCTGACAAGTTTTGTCACTGAATTTACTTGAACACCCTTAAAATTAATTAAGGATAATTTAATATTTAAATTTAATATGGAAACGAATCTCTTCAATTTTTGCAGTCAAAACACATTAACTCAAACTCAAACTCAACCACACACCACAGCTCAGCCCACCCCCGTCAGGCACAGCTTGGCGCGGGCGGTGGCGCGGGCGGTTAAGCGGCAGACACAAGTGACGCAAGTAGTGCAAAGTGTATATGATGATGAGGATTATCTTTTTGCTTTGATTGCAGGAAAAGATTATAATAATGACAATAAATGCAAAACTAAACTAGAAAAATACTGCAAAGAATTTGAAAATTTAAATATAAATAAAGAAAAAATACATAAAAAACTTAATGATTTCTGTGAAAGAAATAAAGCTCAAGAAAAATGCCAAAAACTAAAATCTAAAATTGAAAATAAACGCAACACATTCAAATCAAAATTAGAAAAAGTAGTCCAAAAAGAAGTATCAAACTTAGAAAGCAGTGATTGTGTAAATGAACAGGAATGTCTCTTTTTGGAGGAAGCATTCCCTAATGATCTTAAAGATAATTGTAACACTTTAAGAAATAAATGTTATCAAAAGAAGCGTGATAAAGTGGCTGAAGAAACTCTTTTGAGGGCACTTAAAGGAAATCTTCAAGATAAAAATAAGTGTAGGAAGGAGATTGAAAATGTTTGCCGCACATTGGGTCAAGAAAATAACGAGTTGATGCAAAGGTGTTTAAATCTAGAGTCTACATGTCTATCACTAGTACAAGCAGCAGAAGAAAAATGTAACTCTCTGAAAACAGAGATAAAGAATGTACTAGAACCTAGTGGTGACTTAGAAAAAAGAGGGCATTCTTTACTTGAAAAATGTTATTTTTATGGAAAAAATTGCAAAGACTCAAATAAACCAGAATGTGAAAAACTCATAAACAAAACTAAAAAAAAAAAGATTATTTACAAAGGGCCAGGTTCAGATTTTGATCCTACAAAACCAGAAGCTACGTTAGCAGAAAAAATAGGTTTGGAAGAACTTTACAAAGAAGCGGCGACACAGGGAGTTCTAATTGGAAGAGCACCAGAAAGAGATGCTCTTGATTTATTAGTATTTCTATCAGAGAAAACCAGTTTTAGTGAAGACCAATGTAAGAAAGTGCTTGCTACTAAATGTGGTTCCTTTAAGCATCTTGAAGAAGGTCTAAAAACTTTATGTGACAATGAAACTCAGCATGAAAATAAATGTAAAGTATTTGAAAAAGAATTTAAAGAAATAAAAGCCGCTTTGACTGCAAAGTTTAAAAAATTTGGAGATGAAATCGAGTTATGGAACAAATTACCGAGCTTTCTTACTGAAGATGAATGTGTTGAATTAGAATCAGACTGTTTTTATTTCGAAAATCAGTCTTTTGAAAAACAATGTAAGAATGTTAAGGCAGCGTGCTACAAAAAAGGGCTCTATGCATTAGCAAACCAAGAATTGCAGGACAAGCTTCGAGGAAAGTTTCATGGTACAAATGATACATCGTTTGAGAAGCTTCAAAAAGAGTTAGTAAAGGTGTGTGCGGATTTGAAAAAAAAAAGCAACGAGTTATATATGTTTTGTGTCCAGCCAGATAGTACAATTTCTATACTTTTAGGGGATTTACATTTTAAAGTGGATCTATTGCAGGAACATTTGAATGCAAGACGAGATCTTCCTACGGAACGAGATTGCAGGATATTATTGAAAAAATGCAAAGATCTAGTTCAGGATTCTGAAGAAATTGAATGGCCTTGTCATACACTCAAACAGAATTGTGATCGTTTAAGGGTTGTAGAGCAATTGGAAGAAAAATTTTTGGAAGAAAAAACGAAAAAATTAGATGACTCAGATTCATGTATAGGAAAGATTGATCAACAATGTCGTGAATGGAATAGAAAAGGAAGAGCGCAGTTTGCTCTCGCATGTGTAGCACAGAATACTACTTGCAAGATTCTTACAGAAAGCGTAGATTCTAAGTGTACTACATTGAAGGCACGTATGGAAACAAGTAAGGTTGTAGAAGCTGCAAAAGAAAAGAATACAATGGAAGAAACATGTGATTCTTGGGAACCCTATTGCAGAAAATTCATGTCAAGTTGCCAAAATCTAACGACTGTTGGTGGTGGAAAATGTGATGAGCTTAACAAGGAATGCGAACCATATCGTATACAAAGAAATCGTGAAGATCAAGCTATGCTTGAGCTTAAAGGAAAGCTTGATAATAAAAATAACTGTGTGGCAACTCTTAACCAATATTGCACACAATGGGTAAATGCAACCAACGGACTTGAAACTTTGTGCAAAAAAAAAGATGAAAAGGACGAAGACGTTAGAAATAAACTCTGCAAGAAGCTGATTGAACGAATAAAAGAAAAATGTAAAGGATTATCGGAAAAACTCGAAAAGGTTAAAAACGAAATAAAAGAAAAAAATAAAGAATATGAGGGTATTAAAAAGAAAGCAGAAGATGCAATGGAAAAAGCGAATCTTGTTTTATCAAAAGTGAAAGAATCTCATAATAAATCTGTGAATAAATCGGTACCTAGTGAACCTAAAGGAGAAGAAAACAAGGTAGAATTTAAACTTATAAGAAGAGATACAAAGCTGCAAGTAACAGAAAAAGAGTTACATGCATTTGATTTGGTATCACAAGCGTTCAGTTTATATGTAGAGTTGAAGGAGATATGCCATCACTCACTGAAAGATTGTGATTTCAAAAAAGAGTGTAAATGTGAGGATCCATGTGAAAAGATACAAGGAATATGTTCGAAATTAGAGCCATTGAAAGTGAAGCCATACGAAATAACAACTAAAAATGTAACAACAACAACCACAACTACAACGACGACAACAACAACCGTTACAGATCCAAAAGCAACAGAATGTAAATCTCTTAGCACAACAGACACGTGGGTCACAAAGACGTCGACCCATACTAGCACATCTACAACCACATCTACAGTCACGTCAAGAATAACGTTGACTTCGACGAGGCGGTGTAAGCCTACGAAGTGTACGACAGGAGAGGAAGATGAAGCAGGTGAGGTGAAGCCGAGTGAAGGGTTGAGGATGAGTGGGTGGAGTGTGATGAGGGGGGTGCTAGTGGTAATGATGATTTCATTCATGATTTAAAAGGCAAATGGGCAGGATTTAATAATGGGCATGTATATTTACTAGATGAATGAGGATAGGGCAGGAAAGAGTA